ATAATTGAATTTAATAAATCCAAAAATCCTACTTAACTTAAATCGTACACTAAACACCTCCGAAATATCCGAAACATTATTATTGAAGTTCTGAATTTAAATTTTATCAAGATCCGATAACTTCTGGCCAAGCTGCGCTTTAGCAATGGGATCTCCTATCTGCATATCTTACCCTTATCAATCCGTTAACCAGGCAAGGCGATGACGGCTATAATCTCTCACGGGAACGTCAATTTCCATCTCTTTTATGTATCAGAGCTCTCATCTCATGGCGGAGGACAACTCAAAGAAGGAGCTCGACAAAACCATGAAGAGAAGAATTGCAAACCTCAACAATCACTTCCTCCCCGTAACTTATTCTTTTTCCGCAAGCCGTTCGATTAGCTCCTCGCCTGCGTCTGCGGAGGACAGCTACCGGCGCATCCACGGTGAGGTCTCCGCCGAAGCAGCGGTATGGAGACCCGCACTAGATGAGTCGGGGAAGTTCACTGACATTCTATACGAGAAAGCCGTGGGAGAGGGAATCGCGAAGGTAAAGCGCCGCATTATTGATTAGATAAAAGTCTTAATACAAATTTTATATTAACATCCATTTCGGGCGTGCAGATCACGATTAATCGTCCAGAGAGAAGAAACGCTTTCCGGCCGCATACAATTAAAGAACTTGCTAGCGCATTCAATGATGCGAGAGATGATAGCTCCATAGGAGTTATCATTTTAACAGGGAAGGCGAGTAATTTTTGTTATGCTATTGTGTTTTAATTGCATGGTTTTTTATTTCAAAATTTCATTTTATTCTGTTTGTTTTGTTAGAAAATGTGTTAATTAGTGATTTTACTTTCAGTAGGGAACCAAGGCTTTCTGTAGCGGTGGTGACCAGGCTTTGAGGACCTCTGATGGATATACTGATTTTGAAAATTTTGGTCGGCTTAATGTTTTGGATCTGCAGGTAGATTGCTAATATATTATCTTCTTAATTGAAAAATTCTATTGTGATCTATTTTCGGTGGAATTAGGGAGAGATTGGATGTGGCTCTTGCCCCCCTAATTTTAGAAAAGCCTTATATAATGTGCAAATTTAACATTTAAATTCTCATACAAATTTAAGACCCAGACTCTGGCAAATGGAAGGCTTTTACATTATTCTCGATTTTACAAAAATCCAGGAAATTTAACACAAGGGGGATCATTTTCATAGA